TACTAAAAGAGAAGGACTTGCAGCCAAGGATACTTTATCCAGCAAGGCTATCATTCAGAATGAATCGAGAGACAAGGAGTTTCCAAGACACACAGAAACTGAAAGAATAGGTGACCACCAAGCCAGCCCTGCAAGAAATATTAAGGGGAGGTTCTATAAATAAGAAAGACACCAAGAGTAATATAGACCAGAAATTTACAGAGATAATTGATAGAAACATGGACTTCACAGGCAACATGATGACACTAAAATCATATCTTTCAATAGTTGCTCTCAATGGGAACAGCATAAATGCTCCCATGAAATGGCACAGGGTTGCAGATTGGATAACAAGACAGGACCCATCCATATGCTGTCTACAAGAGACTCATTTAGGACCTAAAGATACATCCAGACTGAAAGTGAGGGGACAGAGAACCATTTTTCATGCCAACGGACCTCAAAAGAAAGCTGGGGCAGTCAATCCCATATCAGACAAATTAGATTTTAAGCTAAAGACTGTAGTAAGAGATACATATCATTCTATATCATTCTTAAAGGGTCTATCCAACAAGAAGATCTAACAATTGTAAATATCTAGGCCCCCAGCATGGGAGCAGCCAAATGCATAAGCCAACTGTTTATCAAAATAAAAAATCCTATTGATAATAATACTTTAATAGTAGGAGACCTCAACACTCCACTCTCAGCAACAGACAGATCATCTAAGCAGAAGATCAACAAAGGAACAAGAGCTTTGAATGACACACTGGACCAGATGGACTTTAGAGATATATATAGAACATTCCACCCTAATACAACAGAAAACTCATTCTTCTCGAACGCACACAACTTTCTCCAGAACAGACCACATACAGGGTCCCAAATCATGTCTCAACCAATACCAAGAGATTGAGATTATTCCCTGCAGACTGTCACACCACAATGCTTTGAAACTGAAACTCAATCACAAGAAAAAAATTGGAAGGAATTCAAACATGGAAGCTAAAGACCATCCTGCTTAAGAATGTTTGGGTCAACCAGGAAATTAAAGAAGAACTTACAACAATTTGTGGAAACCAATGAGAAAGAAAATATATCAGTCCAAAACCTATGGGATACTACAAAGGCGGTCCTAAGGGGAAATACGTCGCCATCCAAGTCTCACTCGAAAAAGTAGAAAAATTGTGAATGCACAAGCTAACCTTACACCTAAAGGAACTGGAGAAAGAACAGCAAATAAAATATAAAGCAAGTAGGAGAAAGGAAATAATAAAGATTAGAGCAGAGGTCATTGAAATAGAAACCAGAAAAACAGTAGAGCACATCAAAGGAAGTAGAAGCTGGTTCTCTGAAAGAAGTAATAACATCAATAAACCACTGGCCAGACTTAGCCAAAAGAAAAGAGAAAGGACCCAATTTCATAAAATTATGAATGAAAGGGGAGAGATCATGACTAACACCAAGGAAACAGAAACAATTATTAGAAATTATTATCAACAACCATATGCCAATAAATTAAGCAACCTGAAAGAAATGGATGCCTCCTGGAAACCTATAAACTACCAAGACTGAAACAGAAACAAATTGACAACCTGAATAGACCAATAACCAGTAACCGATTGAAGCAGTGATCAAAAACCTCCCAGAAAAATAAGAGTCCAGGGCCAGATGGATTCCCAGGGAAATTCTACCAAACATTTAAAGCAGAAATAATACCTATTCTCCTGAAGCTGTTTAAGAATTAGAAACAGAAGGAAAACTTCCAAACTCATTCTATGAGGCCAATATCACCTCGATCCCCAAGCCAGGCAAAGACCCCATCAAAAAGGAGGATTACAGACCAATATCCCTGATGAATATGGATGCTAAAATTCTCAACAAGATCCTAGCCAATAGGATCCAACAGTACATTAAAAGGATTATCCATCATAACCACATGGGATTTATCCCTGGGAGGCAAGCATGGTTCGACATTTGCAAATCAATCCATGTGATAGAACACATTAATAAAAGAAGAGACAAGAACCATATGATCCTTTCAATGGATGCAGAAAAAGCACTGGGCAGAATACAGCATCCGTTCCTGATTAAAACTATTCAGAGGGTAGGGATAGAGGGAACATTCCTCGAACTCATAAAAACCATCTATGAAAAGCCCACAGCGAATATCTTTCTCAATGGGGAAAAGCTGAGAGCTTTTCCCTTAAGATGAGGAACATGACAGGGATGCCCACTCTGGCCACTATTGTTTGACATAGTACTAGGAGTCCTAGCCTCAGCAGTCAGACAACAAGAGGAAATAAAAGGCATCCAAATTGGCAAAGAAGAAGCCAACTGTCTCTCTCTTTGCAGATAACATGATACTTTAGGTGGAAAACTCAAAAGACTCCACCCCCAAATTACTAGAACTCATACAGCCAGTCAGTAATGTGGCCGGATACAAAATCAATGCACAGAAATCGGTTGCTTTTCTATACACTAACAATGTAACTGTAGAAAGAGAAATTAGGGAATCGACTCCATTTATAATAGCACCAAAAACCTTAAGACACCTTGGAATAAACCTAACCAAAGAGGTAAAGGATCTGTCCTCTAGGAACTACAGGAAACTTAGGAAAGAAATTGAAGACAGAAAAAGATGGAAAAAACATTGCATGCTCATGGATTGGAAGAATAAATGTTAAAATGTCTATGCTGCCCAGAGCAAACTATACTTTCAGTGCCATCCTGATCAAAATACCAATGGCATTTTTCAATGAGCCGGACAAAAACAATCCTAAAATTGGTATGGGAAGAGAAAAGACCCTGAATCACCAAGGAAATGAAAAAGAAAAACAAAGCCGGGGGCATCATGTTGCCTGACTTCAAGCTATATTCCAAAGCTGGTATCACCAAGACAGCATGGTACTGGCACAAAAACAGACACATCGATCAATGGAACAGAATAGAGAGCCAAGAAATGGACCCTCAACTCTACGGTCAACTAATCTTTTACAAATCAGGAAAAAATATCCGATGGAAAAAAAGTCTCTTTAATCAATATTGCTGGGAAAATTGGACAGCTATATACAAAGGAATGAAACTCAACCATTCTCTTACACCATACACAAAGATAAACTTTAAATGGATGAAAGACCTCAAAGTGAGACAGGAATCCACCAAAATCCTACAGGAGAACATAGGCAGTAACCCCTTTGACATGGGCCACAGCAACTTCTTTCAAGACACGTCTCCAGGGGTGCCTGGGTGGCTCAGTTGTTAAGCGTCTGCCTTCGGCTCAGGTCATGATCCCAGGGTCCTGGGATCGAGTCCCGCATCGGGCTCCCTGCTCAGCGGGAAGCCTGCTTCTCCCTCTCCCACTCCCCCTGCTTGTGTTCCCTCTCTCGCTGCGTCTCTCTCTGTCAAATAAATAAATAAAATCTTTAAAAAAAAAAAAAAGACACGTCTCCAAAGACAAGGGAAACAAAAGCGAAAATGAACGTTTGAGGCTTCATCAAGATAAAAAACTTCTGCACAGCAAAGGAAACAGTCAACAAAACTAAGAGGCAACCCATGGAATGGGAGAAGATATTTGCAAAGGACATTACAGATAAAGGGCTGGTATCCAAGATCTATGAAGAACTTCTGAAACTCAACACCCCAAAAACAAATAACCCGGTCAACAAATGGGCATAAGACATAAACAGATACTTCTCCAAAGAAGACATATGAATGTCTAACAGACAGCTGAACAAATGTTCAACATCATTAGCCATCAGGGAAATTCAAATCAAAACCACATTGAGATACCACCTTACACCAGTTAGAATGGCAAAAAATGACAAGGCAACAAACAACAAATGTTGGAGAGGTTGTGGAGAAAGGGGGACCCTCTTACACTGTTGGTGGGAATGCAAGTTGGTACGGCCATTTTGGAAAACAGTGCGGAGGTGCCTCAAAAATTAAAAATAGAGCTACCCTATGACCCAGCAATTGCACTACTGGGTATTTACCCCAAGGATACAGATGTAGTGAAAAGAAGGGGCACAAGCACCCCAATGTTCATAGCAGCAGTGTCTGCAATAGCCAAACTGTGGAAAGAGCCGAGATGCCCTTTAGCAGAAGAATAATCAAGAAGATGTAGTGCATATATACAATGGAATAATAGCCATCAGAAAGGATGAATGGCCACCATTTGCATCGACATGGATGGAAGTGGAGGGGATTATGCTAAGTGAAATAAGTCAAGCAGAGAACGACAATTATCATATGGTTTCACTTATATGTGGAACATAAGGAATAGCATGGAGGGCATTAGGAGAAGGAAGGGAAAAATGAAGGGGTGGGGATCAGAGGCAGTGACGAACGATGAGAGACTATGGACTCTGGGAAACAAACAGGGTTTCAGAGGGGAAGGGGAGTGTGGGGATGGGTTAGCCCAGTGATGGGTATTAAGGAGGGCATGTATTGCAATGAGCAGTGGGTGTTATAATCAAACAATGAAGCATGGAACACTGCATCAAAAACTAATGAAGTAGTGTATGGTGACTAACATAACATAATAATAAAAAAAAAACTCACAAAAAATAAATTCTCCATCAAGCATTAAAAAAAAAAAAAAAAAAGGAAACCCACTGTGAGTTTCCTCAGAGTCACACTGTCCAAGAGCATTCTGGCCAACACCTGGGTACAGTTCTTTCCTTCTATTTTTATTGTGTATTGTGTACATTTCCTCCCCCAACCTTTTAAAATTGTGAAATGTAACACACACCCAGAAAGGTACATAAATCTCGCGAATAACGCTGTGTTTACTTTCTGCTGCAGTGTAGCAAAGGACCACAAATTTGGAAACTTAACAAATGCACTTACCAGGCCGCCTGGGTGGCTCAGTCGGTTAAGCGACTGCCTTTGGCTTGGGTCAGGATCCCAGGGTCCTGGGATCACGCCCCACATCGGGCTCTGGGCTCAGCATGGGGCCTGCTTCTCCCTCTTCCTCTGCCACTCCCACTGCCTGTGCTCTGCTGCTCTGTCAAATAAAGAAATAAGATCTTTAAAAAATGCACTTACCTCCACTTCCGTGGGGCAAGAGCAAGGGCTCAGTTGTAGCTGGGTCTGACTCAGGGTCTCATGGGGCTATAATCCAGGTATAGGCTGAGCTTTCTTCTCATCTCGAGGTGCCAGTCATTCAAGCTCATTCAGGTCCCTGGCAGATGCATATTCTCACGATTGCATGACTGAGGGTCCCAGCTTCTTCCTGGCTGCTGGCTGGAGGCCACCCTCAGGTCCCAGAGGCTGCCCACAGTCCCCTGCCACATGGCCCCCTCCGGGGGCTGTTCACTTGGCTGTTTGCTCTTGCCAGGCCAGCAGGAGAGTCTGTCTCCAGTCATCCCGGGAACATGAGCACGATGGGCATGACATCCATCATCCTTCCCATTTGACATGACATCATCAAGGGAGGGACATCCTACCCTTTTCACCAAATTCTGTTACTGGTTAGAAGCACATGACCGGTCCAGCCCACACTCACAGGGAGGGGATGATACAGGCTGTTGACTCACTGGAAGTCCCCTTGGGGTGTACCTAAGTGGAACCCAGGTGACAAAACTGAACACTGACCACCAACCCAGAAGCCTAACTTACCCACCCCCATCTCCACTTAGAGGTAAAACTAGTGCCGAGCTGGAGCCGACTCATGAGAACCCAACGTTAAATTTTCAGGAATTCTGTGGGCTTGCTGTTAAACAGATATTATCAAAAGTTTAATTATACAAGTTTACAGTGATATCAGTACTGTTGACAACAAGGTCTCAAAACACATTACTTCCCAATTCTCCTACCATGACCTATGCTCTTGGGGTAATTTACATTTATTGGATCCATGTGCTGGAAATAGCATTCTCAACCCTGCACTCAGACAGTCCAGGTCGGTAGCTTGCAGTAGGCCGTCAGAGGAATATTTATATTGCGGGAATCTGAAAATTCTATAGTTCAGAGCTTGAAGGTTGAAAAGGGTGGTAGACAAAACAAAACAAAGAATATGCGACAGAGATGACATGTGTCTGGCAGAGCCGAAGATATTTGCCATCTGACCCAACCCCCGGTCTAGACTCAAGAAAGTAATAGAGAAAATTAACAATGTAGTTCAACTTAACTTTGTGTCAAGCCTGTAGCCTTTATATTGTAAACAGCACAAAGCGTTGAGGAACAACTGTATTTGTAAACCACGGTCGAAGAAGTCGCTCACATCAGTGATGAAACTCTGAAGTCTTTTGGGCTTCATTTCTGTCTTATTAATGTAACATCCACCATGTTCATATCACAGATTACATTTAATGACAAGCTTGTTGGGAAAATAGGTTGGGAGGCAACTCCATTTGCCAGATCACGGGGAGAATTTCAACTACAGGTTGGCCAGGGTACAAGAGTCCGGCGAAAGAAAGGAAAAGCACTCTCCGGGCACCAGTGGTCTCTAGGAGATTTACGAGCAAGACTGCTGTTCGTTTTCTCACTCTCTGTAGACGGTGCGCGGCCCACGCTTGATCTCAGCGACGCTCATAATAAACTTACGCACGGATACAGTACCATCGGCCTGTTCCGTGGCGTGAGGACGTCCTGGCTCTCCTCGATACCTGAACCAGGTTTACAGTCGCCTCTTTCCCCCACCTGACCCAGGCACCTTAGAGCCCGGAGAAGCGTCTGGCACACAGGCATTTAGCAGATGTTGCTGAAGTGGGCAAACTTCCGAGGAATGCTGATTTTAACAGGGCCACCGGCAGCGGCAACTGTGAGCCTTTACGAGAAAATGACAAAAAGGAAAAAAAAAAGGGAGTCAGGGGAAGTTTGCTTTCTCATCTCGGTAAGCCTCTTCCCATCTTCCCGGCATCGATAGGGCGTAGAAACAAAGGCGGGGGTGGCCAGCCCTACTAGTGAGCGGGACCACCCAGTGCTCGGCTTGCACCCGGCAGGTGACGGGAGAAGCCAGACACGTCACTTCGCCACTCCGTCACCCGTCGGGGAGGCCCGGCTCGCATTAGCCGCGCACAGGCACCCCGCGAAAGTCCGGGGGCCCCCTCACTGGAGGGCAAACTCGGGCTGGGCGGAGGCGGCGGCAGGGCCGAGCGCTCTGCCTCCGGGGCCCCTGGAAGCCGGGGGCCCTGCTCCCGCCCGCCCCGGGGTCCCAGGGCCTCCCTGGCCGCCCCGCCTGTGACCTCGGGCGGGCCACGTCCCCCCTCCCCGGGGCCCCCTGACGGCCGGACGCGCAGTTGTCCCTGGGACGTAACTTACCCAACCAGGCTCCCGCCGAGACCGGAATGGCGCGCCGCCATGCGTTGCGCGCAGGGACGACTTGCAGTGCCGCCCGCCCCTGGCGGCCCGGGAACACCGGACAAGATGCGGTGTTTACACGCAATGGGATACTGCTGAGCCTTAGAAAGCAAGGAAGGAAGTTTTGTGTTAGGTGTCTTTCATCCCAGTAAAAAAGGACAGTTCTGACCCAAGCTAAGGGCTAGGGGAACCTAGGGGACATTAGGCTGAGCGACAGGAGCCAGAGACGGAAGGACGACTACTGTAGGAGTCCACTAACAGGAGGGATCTCGAATAGGCACATTCATAAGGACAGAGGAGAATAGAGGTTTCCAGGGGATGGGAATTCTTTGATGGGGACAGAGTCTCAGTTTGGGAAGATGAAAAAGTTCTGGAGACGGATGGTGTGGCAGCTGCTTCGTGCCCCTGAACCGAGCACTGAAGAACGGTTAAAATGGCAAATTGTGTGTGGTGTGTGTTTTACCACATCCTCCCCACTCAACATCACACCGAGTTCTACCCAACGATATCCTTTCTATGTTCTACCCCACCTGTCTTCATCCCTGCTCACAACATCCCGAACCCCTCCAGCCCCAACCAGCTGCCTTTCTTACCTAGAACACACCATCCTCACTGCTCCTTGCTGTTCTCTCTGATAGAAATGCTCTTCCCTCTCCACACAGCTGTTTCCTTCTCCTGGATTCATTCATTCAATAGACACAGATCCATGCTTATTTTCTGCTAGACATTATGCAAGACCAGGGGATGCACAGGTGATCAAAACAGGAAAAGATTCTCCTTGACTTCATATTCTGGCAGAGGTCAGAGTCAATAAACACCAAGAGCAAGGAGTCTAGGGCAGCAGGAACATCCAAGTCAGCACAATTAAGGTCCCTGCCCATGTGAGCAAATATCAGGGAGCACAGTTGGGAACAAGGCTCTTCTGATGGGAGGAAGTGCTAGGGGGTGTCTTGAGAGGAGTGTGGGGGTGGAACTCCCACAAAGCGAGAGAGGGAACACAAGCAGGGGGAGTGGGAGAGGGCGAAGCAGGCTTCCCCGTGGAGCAGGGAGCCCAATGCGGGGCTCGATCCCAGGACCCCGGGATCATGACCTGAGCTGAAGGCAGACGCTTAACGACTGAGCCACCCAGGTACCCCTAAGCTGACAGTGTCTTGAGCAGTGACTGGATCAATCTGCTTCTTAAAACAAAGAAACAAACAAAAATTTATTTGAGAGAGAGAGAGAGAAGGGGAGAGGGGAAAAGGGAGAGGGAGAGAGAGAATCCTTTAGCTGAATCCCTACTGAGTGTGGAACCCAACAAGGGGCTTATCTCACAACCCAGAAATCAGGGCCTGAGCCGAAATCAAGAGTCAGACACTTAACTGACTGAGCCACCCAGGTGCCCCAGTGACTGGATCAATCTTGCACGTTCTCTGTGCCTGTCCAGCTTCCTCATGCCCTCAGTCAGTCATTCCACCACATTCTGCAGGTTCCTTAGACAGCTCCCCTCTGGAGGGGCAGGGGCTATATGCTGGGAACCTACAGTGAATTAGACAGAGGGGGTCCTTTCTCTCTGCCTTAGATGCTCTTCATTCCTCCTACTCTTCTTTGGTTCACCTTCTCCCCACTCCAAGGCATCCCCCAAACTCTAATATCCTGCCCCAAAGAGTAATTGGCCGGTTCCCTCCCACACTTTATTACAACTGTCCTTCCCAGAGTATGGGGGGGGTGGGAATCCTACCTTCACCTGGAATTCCTCGAGGGACCTCTCTCCCCGTTTGTCAAGTGCAGGATGCACAGCCCTTCCCTGGACCACATTCTTCTACATCCCTTCTGAGAATCTGTTCCTTATTTCTGTTTCCACCTTTCCCTTCTCATAGGTACCTTTGTCCTTGACTAGAAACAGAGAGGGGACATATACATGGAATAGATGTATGGTCATAGACAAATACCCCATACAGAGAAGATGCATCATCCCAAGGAAACTAATGTTCTGGTGAAGATCCATGTGTCTTCCTGAGTGTCCTCACTCAGTTCCTTCCTCACATGGGGAGCTGAGAGGTGGGCCAGACCCACACATCTGGGGGAGGAATGATGGACTTTGGCAACCTCCTCACGTAGGGATTCACTTCAACAGACCCCATCCCCTCAACATGAATTGCCCTCTGGCAAGCATCCCTGAACTTTTAACATGCACATGTCATATCCTACTGATATCTATTTATTTTTGATATTGGCCAAAACATTGATATTATATGTGAAAATGTTGCAATTGATGAATATCTGGCTCTTACTGTAGAGGATAAATACATAACAATTTTTATAAATTGTAAAAACAATTGAAAATGTCTCAGTATTGGAGTATATGAATCAATAAAAGTATAATTATCTGTGAATAATTTATAATCAGAATCTTATAGGCTTCTAACTGCACAGTTCCAGTGTAAATATAAAGTTGAATTAGCGGTGTGGAACACACTTTTTTTCCTCCATCTTCAATTAATCCAACAGTCCAAGGTGGGTGTCAAAGCTTGAGAGGTTAACTTTTGATGTAACTGAATTTCTCAGAGAAAGAGGAATCTGGGTCCAGGGGGAAGGTGGTGGGAGATGCTGGAGGCTGGAGGACAGAGTGGGATCTCGTCGACCAGCAGAAAGGGGCTGGGTGCGGGGAGGTCAGTGTCCTTATCACCCTAAGCTCTATCTGTCCAGCATTTCCTACAGGAGTTCATGTAGTAAATTCCCTACAACAACCAGGTGATTTTCTCTAAATCAACAATGAAGAAGCCCAAGAGGATATTAAAAAACAATTCCATTTAAGATAGCATCCAAACAAATAGAACTTTTAGGAGTCAACTAAACCAAGTAAGCAAAAGACTTGCAAACTGAAAAGTACAAAGGATAGCTAAAAATACTAAAAAGACTTAAATAATCCAGAGGATCCCACATCCATGGGTTGGATGACTTAATATTGTGAAGGTACAACCAACACCATCTCCACATTCAGTGCTGTCCTTCCATGAGCTTGTTTCCCCCAGTTTAATTCCAGGATGTCTACTGGTCACTGCTCCCCCCTCTCCCGCCCCGCCCTGCAACTGCTTGTTGGAGGGTTTTGGGATAAATGTCTGTTCTTTGGACCCAGATTTTAGACACTCGTCCCCCATGAATTCCACATTAGGCCATGAGGATTTTCAGTGCAGGAGATGGAAGAACCCCTCAATAGAGGAGGGCTCCAATTATAGTAACGTTCTGTGTATAACAATCTTCATACTAGTTAAAATTGTAAAACTGATTTAAAACATATTAAGTATACAAGAGAGTCAAATATATAAGCATTTTGCAGGCTGAATTTCAAGGAAACTTTGAACCCAGAAAAGTCAGCAGGAGCAGAGGACGCATGACCCTGACAGTGTTCTGCTCCCATGGCAGGGACAGGCATCAAACGTCCTTGCAGTGCAGGCTGAGGGGACCTCAGAGGGGAATCTAAACCCACAACAACAACGGTCAAACTGGAAGACGGGTCCATGTGGAATTACTATGAGGTGTGAACCACCTTGGTACTCGGAGAACTTTAAGCCTTTTCCTTGGTTCAAGATGATGGTAGACTTGTTATGACCCCAAGCTCCTGGAAGAGGCAAACTCCAATGTCAAGTAATCCTGAAATACCTGGTAACATAAGCAGTGTGCAATACACCATGTATTTAACCATCCGGAGGTCATTAGTGATCTGGAAAAAACCTGTCAGCCCGAACACCACATTCTTCTTCTTTCTACTGCTCTGGGCAGTGATACTGGAATGATCCAATTGCAGATGTCTGGACATCATTCCAGGAGCTCTGGGAGGTGTCAGATGGGCTGGACGACTTGGTGTCTCAGCCCAGCAGGTGGCGCTGTGGGACTGGGCCTGTGTGGACAGGCTTCTGGTCCAGACGAACCAGGGAACTACTCTACTCATTCTTGCACACTTGGCAGGCGGTGTCTTCACTGAAGTGTGACTGCAGAACCTGTGTCCCCGCAGCTGCGTGGGGGCTCAGCTCTGACTCCCTCCCTCCTTCCTGCTCCATCCGCCACCCCATGGGGGCCTTGCCCAGGCTGGTGTTCAGACAGCGACAGACCCGCCCATACCTGGAGTGGTTCTTGTCATGAAAAATAATCACCTGCCATGCTACCGGGGCCCAGGGCAAGAGACCCCTAGGGAGGGGAGGAGGGGAAAGCCAACAGTGTGGCCTCAGCCAGCGGACTCTGGGGCTTCTCTGTCCTGTCCTGATTCCTCTATGGCCTCCTCCCTCATAGACAAGGAGGTCCCTTTAGGGCCGAAGAGAAAAGCTCCTGGGGTGGGGAGGCATTTGCACTGCTTTGTTCCCAAACAAGCCCCATTCTTTCTGTCACCTTAGAGCCTCCAGCTTTCCTTCCAGGGCCTGTCAGACTGTGGTACTCTGCTATCCAGGGCATCAGGGACCTTGTTAGGGGGAAAAGGAAAAAAAAAAGTGATATATATTATAAATTATTATAAATAAATATCACATATTATAAAATTATCTTATATACATTACATAAACATATATTAAATGTGTACAGTACATTATATTGAATTATTACTTATATCATTTTGTATATACTCTAGTAAATATAAATGTCATGTGTTATATAAAATACCATAGATTATATATAAATCTTATATCATGTGTATGTTATAAGTTGCATGCTGCATATACATATCATATATTATAAGTTATACATTTAAGTACTGTAAGCTATATATAGAGGGAGGGAGAGGAAAATGAAGTTACTGTGTCTGGGAACTACTGTGAGTTTGCTCCTCCTGAGTTACATTTAGAGACCCAGCCAGGTGTGGAGTCACACAAAGGAATCTGTATTTGCAGCAAATAAGGAGATCTTATATGTGGCAAAAGTGAATTTCAAGAGTAAGGGTCATAGAAAACTGTTATCAACATGCAGGAATTCAGAGAATTGAGTGCCCATGATTCCTTCCAGAAAACAAGCTTCAGACAGTCAAAATGGCTAGGAGGAGACATTGATGTAAAGACCAGTGGTGAACATGGGAGATAGTTTCTTTTGAACTCAGACCAAGTTCATGTTAAAAGAGAGAGTGTGGTAATGTAATAGCTGTCTACCCTGACAAAACAGATGGAGTACAACTTTTTCTTGTTCTTAATGGGGGCAGAATGGAGAGCACAATGCAAAAACAAATTGCTGTTTGCAGTAAGCATCGTGGTAGCAACTTTATCTGTAATGTTATTCTAACCCTTTTGCAAGTATAACAGGGTAGCAACTTAATAACTAGGGGGTATTCTAATCTATCAGTCCCTGTGCACCTGACACCAGGACTGTTGGTGTGGAAGAAAGGAGATACAGGCAGTGGTGTGCTGAAGCTGGTTGGGCACACCTCTTCCCCAATCCACAAGCAGTGAGATCACACTGGACACATCACTTGAAATGAGCCATGCTGGGGGGGTGTACATTATTGGCAGGGAGCAAGAATATCCTGCCCCCTTCAAGGTCTCTCTAGCTGGACTAAGAATCAAACTGACACGAGAAGAAAATCAAATTTCATGTCATACATTTGGGGAATCCAACAGACACGGAAATTCCAAAGACAGTCAAGCAAAATGAGATATATATGTCATCTCGAGCTAAGAAGAAGGGTGTGGGGTCTGGGACTTCAGAGAGAAGGAATGCAGTTCACAGGGCAATAAGAAGAGCAAATGTTCAGTAATGAGATGTTTGCCCTACCATACAGATGGGTCACTCAGATAAAATCTATTTCTGGTAATAATTCTTATTCTGGGACAGACCCCCATTGAGATTCTTCTATGTAGTTAAGGGAGGGGCAAAAGTTTTTCTTGGGCCCACAGCGTCCCCATTGCCTTCAGCTCAAGATAGTCTACTTGCCAAAGGGGTACGTTTTGGGGGGACCTGTCCCAAACCTGTTCACTATGGAAACTTGTGAAGGGGACCAGAGTATGCCACTTTGGCATGATGATTGTTTTGAAATGAAGGCACTGAGAAACAACAAACACGGCAAGAGCTCTCTGCACCAACCCCCCCCCCCCACCTGACTAAAAGCAGAAAATACCTTTCACTTCCATTTGTAATGGAAATTTCCCTTTGTAAAGTTGTCCTTCTCTCCTGTATTGGGAAGAGAACTAAGGAGACAAGTCGTATATCACCTGAGACTGCATAAGAAACTTTACTAAATAACCCTTGTTTACCATACATTTCCTAGTCACCTTCCTACAATTTACCAAATCCCCAGTTTCCTTTGTCTAGTTTCTTCTCTGCAATCATCATCCTTTTCTAAAATAACATATAGGGGGCGCCTGGATGGCTCCATCGGTTAAGCAGCTGCCTTCAGCTCAGGTCATGATCCCAGGGTCCTGGGTTCAAGCCCTGGGTCAGGATCTCTGCTCAGCGGGGAGTCTGCTTCTCTCTCTCTCTCTCTCTCTCTCAAATAAATAAATAAATAAAAATAAAATGACATTAAAAATCTTAAAAGGGGGGGGCACCTGTCTGGCTCAGTTGGTTAAGCATCTTGCCTTCAGCTCAGGGTCCTGGGATCGAGTCCTGCATCGGACTCCCTGCTCGGCGGGGAGTCTGCTTCTCCTTCTCCCTCTCTCTCTGCCCCTGTTCGTGTGCTCTCTCTCTCATTCACTCTCTCTCTCTCAAATAAATAAATAAAAATCTTTTTAAAAAATAAAAAGAAAAAGAAATAAAATGACATATAAGCCCCGGGCTTAACTGCTTCTCTGAGTTTTTACTTCTTTTCTTTTTTTTTTTAAGATTTTATTTATTTGACAGAGAGAGACACAGCGAGAGAGGGAACACAAGCAGCGGGAGTGGGAGAGGGAGAAGCAGGCTTCCCGCGTGGAGCAGAGAGCCCGATGTGGGGCTCGATCCCAGGACCCTGGGATCATGACCCGAGCTGAAGGCAGACGCTTAATGACTGAGCCACCCAGGTGCCCCTTTACTTCTTTTCTGAGAAGTCTCTGTGTACATGCAAAATAAACCTTTTCTCCTGTTAATCTGTCTCTTATGGCTTTAATTCACAGGCCTCAGGTACAGAACCTCAGAGAGTAAAGGAAAAGATGTGGTGTTTTTACTCCCCTAGAGTTTTGACTATCACAACAGGACAGGCAGGACACCTCAATCATTTTGGAGAACTCAGGATGTCTGACAAAGCTGGCAAAAAGTAAAAATTCATACCAAGTCAGCTTCTCAGATTTCTGATCCAATGATCTAAATGTAGATTAGCAGGAGGAAACACTTGAAGAACTAGTACTTTAAGTATTACTCTTGGGTGACACTAGGTTTTGAGTACTCATTGGTTATTGATCTTTGCTCCCCCAGGGACAGTCATTGCTTTCCTTTTTGTCCCATTTTGTGTCAGCATGTCAGACCTGCATCTGCAGGCAGGCAACCTTCAGGTGAGGGAGGCCCAAGAAATTATAGCTGACCAGACAGAGATGTGGGTTGCACCCCACTGATGCTGACGTCTTATTAACGATTGCCAGCCCTCAGTTCACTTAAGTGTTTCTTTTGTCTGTCTTTGGCAGGGGCTCAGGAGGATGGTGGCTGCATTTTGCACCCTCTTTGGAAATACCTCTTGCGTCCCTGGTTAAGCTATAAAAAGGCTTACTGAGGTTTTGAGTCACCTTTATAATAGGTATACCTTTGGAAAGAAAAAAAGTGGGAAGTTCAACACTGCCAGGAAAATTCATTGTTTATCTTTGCCAAACCTGATAATAATACATTTGAAAGGATTTTTTTAAAAGATTTTATTTCAGAGAGAGAGAGAGCACATGAGCTAGGGGAGGGGCAGAGGCAGAGGGAGAAGCAGATTCCCCGCTCAGCAGGGAGCCCGACTTGGGGCTTGATCCCAGGCCCCAGGACTCGATCCCGGGACCCTGGGACCATGACCTGAGCTGAAGGCAGACGCTTAACTGACTGAGCCACCCAGGTGTCCCTTGAAAGGATTTTTTTAAAAGAGCTCTATGGTCAGAAGTTGCCCAATTGGAAGCCAGTATTTAGGGCCTGCAAGGAGCTATTTTTAAGGCCCCTCACCTATAAATAACTGGGCTAAAATGGAACTATGTACTCAGAGGGAAAGAAAACAAACTCAAGCCTTTGTGGAATTGCTTATAAAAAACATCCCAAAGGCACATTCCTAAATCCAGAATTTAGGAATCCTTAGATTTTCATCTTACTTGGAAATCTTCCTGAAGTAAAGAAACAAATCAAGACAATGTAGTAGGACTGGCACATCAGCCCCTTCATATTATCACTGAGGTGACCGAATTCTTTGGGGTTAAAAGTAAAAACAACTGTCCCTATCTTACTAACTGAATCTTTACAAAGACAGAAACTGAGGCCCTAGAATTTAAAGCCCACCCATCCTTCTTACCAGTTCCCACATCCCCCTTGTTCATCTGACAAGCCTTGGAGACACTGTAAAAAGTCAGGACCTTGGAAATCAGAACCGTTCTGCACTTAAGAAAAAAAAAAAAAAGGAAATTTTAAATAGTAATTGCCCCAAACCTCTGATAATAGGAACTGTCCCTTCAAGAACCTAAGAGTCCTTTCTTTGAAATGCAAACTTCCAGGGGCGCCTGCGTGGCTCAGTCATTAAGCGTCTGCCTTCAACTCAGGTCATGATCCCAGGGTCCTGGGATCGAGCCCTGCATCAGGCTCCCTGCTCAGTGGGAAGCCTGCTTCTCCCTCTTCCACTCCCCCTGCTTGTGTTCCTGCTCTCGCTATCTCTCTCTGTCAAATAAATAAATAAAATCTTAAAAAAAGAAAGAAAGAAAGCAAGAAAGGAATGCAAATTTCCAAGGAGGTAGTAGTGACTGGTTCCCTGACAGAAGGGCATCTTACTCTAACTTCCTGAAAATGGACTGGATATTTTATCCACTCAGATGAGCTTTCAAAATCCTCCAAACACCTGTTGGTGTTTCCAAACGGTCTCTTGCCCAAAATTCAATTCATACCTCTATAACATTACATATCAGGGCAAACAAAAATCTTAAAAGTCTTCTCCACAAATATTGGTAAAATTGAGCAGGTTACCTAAACCTGTTCCATATGCCAGGAGCACACTTTGGATCCAACTATTTTATATAAACTTGTGGGGTTTGAATTCTATGTTTGCCTGACTCGTGGCTAAAATTTTAGGATGAAAGTGTTAAGACTCTTTTTGTGTCTGCCCGCATGTTTGTGTGTCTGTGTTTGTAGGATATGTACATGTAGTGTTTCATGCCTCCAGATGGTATTGCCAGAATTAATCCATAAAATTCCATATAAGAGATCTATTTTGGGGCACCTGGGTGGCTCAGTCAGTTAAGCATCCCTTGATTTTGGCTGAGGTCCTGATCTCGGGGTGGTGGGATCCAACCCTGTGTCCGGTTCTGCGCTCAGCACAGAGTCTGCTTGTCCCTTTCCCTCTGCTCCTCCCCCACCTCTCTATCTCTATCTCTAAAATAAAATCTTTAAAAT